GTCAACGGCTTCAATCTCTTTCACCCTTGCCTTAAACAAGCCATCACTCAAAACCGTGCGTTTGGGATTAGGGCTGGGCCACAGCCGTGTTATCGTACCAATCGAGGTCCCGCAGCGAATCCTTGCATAGTTGGCAAATTGCCACGGACGGGCATGTTAGGGTGACCCACATGAAGTGTGACGAGCAATAAAAAAAATCAACATATGGGTTTCTGGGTTTATTCCTATTTGGTTTGATCTGTATAATTTTGATGCTAGTTTTCTGCGTCACACTTCATGTGGGTCACCCTGTAGGTGTAACGTCCTCGGATCCGATGGTGGCACTGATAACAAAGGTGAAGGGCCGTTTTCAATGTCACTGGGTAGCGCTTGCCAGTAGGAGTTTTCTGATTTCAGTAGCTCATATCGTTCCTGTTTATTAACTCCCGCTTGATTTTCCGCATTAAAGCTATTTGCGCTATTTTTTCACTGAAATAATTCCTGCTCTCATCCTAATTGTGTTTGGTAACAAAAATATCTCACATTAAGAGTATTTAACGAGGAGCATTTTTCGTCATTTCGATAGGGATAGCGAACCAAGCGAAAGCGGGAGTGTCTCCTTATTCCCCTGGTGCGAATCAATTTTTAATTCATGGCGTAGCAAAGTGAGCTGAGTTGAGTGAATTAGCTCATAATGCTAGAGGTTAATAAAAGTTCACTAGGATAACTTTAGGCAAGATGAAGATCAAGTAACCCGTGGGCAACTCCCGCATTACTTTGAAAACTGTCATTTTCGATTAGATGTTTAAATTTTTCCAGAGCAGAGCTGATGCTTTTTCCTGACCTATATATGAATACGACCTTACTTTTCCAGATGACAATTGAGTAATTTTGAGCATAACGAAGGGTTGCTCATATCCTTGCTGGTTCCAAAACGGAAATGCACAAGTCGAAATGCCATCTTTCGGCAGCATTAATATTTTGGCTTCACTCTGAACACAGTTATACAACTGAGCCAATTACTAAAACAGATAGATCAACCCACAAGACTTCCGAATGGTTCATTCCTGCACAGTTCAACATGAAAATGACTCCTGGGATCTCTCCCTGCATGAACGTGTGACCTCAAATGATAGCACAGGGGACGATATAGGGTCGAATTACTGCTCAGATAAGGCATAGTAGAGACTCCGAAACCGGCATAACGCCCAAGTTCTCACGGCGTTGTAGAGGCTGGATGGGTTGCAACATTCGCACTGGAACGCACACGTTGAAGGCAGGCAGCTTACAGTAGCCAGCTATACGCAGTGACACACATATTTGGGCAGCTCGTAAAAAAACCCCAACTTTTGTCGCCACATCTCGTGCTATCATTGATTTCACTACTTTCTCGAGACCTTCGATTTCTCCAAATACGCCGATTTTGTATTTCCTTCGTTTTCTTCTACTTCTGCCCCATACCGGACTATTCCTTCCACTACTCATTTTAATAGATACTACAAAATTATTGCCAACTGTTCCTATAAGGGTATGAGCTGAGGCGTTGAACGCCGTGCCCCGAGTTATAGGCTTATGGAAAGCTTTGTAGTATAAATTTGCACTTTCTACCCTACTCTCGACCACCTTCTCACTATGGTGCCCATTCTGGATCGAAACTCGCTTCTCTCAAACGAATCGATAAGGGTGGCTTGTTTTGCCTAGATCCATTTTAGGAATGACCTGTCCAATCTCTTATGCAGCAAGTAATAGCAGCCTCATCGATAACTTGACGTTACCTTCCCAAATGATGGTGCATTTTTAGTGAAACTTACGTCTCCGAAGAAGTTAACACACTCTAAAAAAGATGTGCGAGGGGAAGAAAGGAATGAGAGCCCTGATGCAAGAAACCACGAGTGATCTTGGACAAAACTTCGATGGACAATGCAGAAATGGATCGATTAAAGAATGTATAACAATCATGCGAAAATCAAGGACTTCCGCCGAAGTTCATATTGTGTATTCGAATGAATACCACTTCTCAACTACATACTGCCTTCTAAATAACCCTCAAGACAAGTTTACGTCGAAGTAGGTGCCTTATCATACGAATAGTTCATTAGATATCTGATTATGAATTTCAGCAATGTTGGAAAGACGTTTAGTTAGTTAGTCCTGGAATGGTTGAACCATTACAGGCTGAATTCGGTACTATTAGGTTGTAAGGAAAGTTCTGGCCGTTTTGACAGCTAACTTTTAAAAAGTTATAACTCATCTCGAAGTGAACATTTTTATTCAAAATGAGCCCCATTCGATTCTACACATTTTCGCCAACGTGATACAAGTCTATTTATCCCATTCTTATAAAAGTCCGGAGATCTA